AGATAGAAAAAGGATTTTTGTTGAAGGGAAGGTTAAATCATGATCTTTTGTTTGAATGAAGGTTTGTTGGAGGTACAGACAAAACTTTACATCATTAGATCATGAAGAGAAATAAATAAAGGTTTATAAAACACACATAATTCCCCATAACGACGCCAGAAACTTGATGAAGGATTTTTCACACTTGGCAAGTGGATTAAGCTTCGTATAGTAATTTAAGATATCGTCATCAGGGACTTGGAGATATTTTGTAATTTCCTTCTTAGTTCAATTTGTATATGATTCATGTACATATGTATCGAGTATGTATGTAAATAAGGTAAGTTGCAATTGAGATGTTTAGTAAAATATCAATTCAAGAAAAGAGTTTATGCAAGAGAGAGATCGGGATTAAATGCACTTTCAGAACACTTATGTTTTCCAATGAATCTTTTATATGAATTCAATTTTTCATATTCAAACTGATCCCTCGAGCTAAAATCTCTAAGGATTAAACCTTGAAACATGATCCCTCAATGATCAAGATTTAACCCTTGTATTAAGCTCAAGGATGTAAAGGACTAACAACTCCAAGTCTATCCCTAGTATGAGTCATTGTTAGGTGAAATGATTCAAATCAAGTTTAGAAAATGTTTTTCAACAAGATTCAAAACTATAAATCAAAAGACGAGTGATCAAGTCGACTTAAGCATTTAGATCGAAATCAAAACAGGAATATGATAAACTAAATACATATACATATATATATATATATATACATATATATATATATATATATATATATATGATTTAAAGGATTATACAAGTGTTGGTAGTTACATTCAAACCCAATCAAGGAGAAGTCAACCACTCATAATGAGGGCTCTAAATGATACAAAATGAAGAATACAACAAGAAGAAGAAGAAGAAAAATAAGAAAAAGAAAAAAATGGAGAAACAAAACCCTCGTTCCCAAAGGATGTCACCTTACAAAGCCTCCTTCAAAGCCTCTTTCTTTCTCCTGTGTTTTTCTCTTTTAGCTCGCTTCTCTCTCCCAAGTTCCCTCTCTTGATTGCTATTTATATGATCCTTAAAAGCAAGAAAAAGTTGAGATTTTTTAATTCCACTATTGTAGCCATGAACCATGGCTGCAACCATGAGGAGTCCTTCAAGGTGAAGAAAGCTCCCATGGCTTGGGCCATGAATGAGCATTGCAGCGTTGAAAGATCCCCTATTTTTTAACTTGTTATAGATTTTCACCACTAAAGTCGTGGATCATTACTATAACCATGGATCTCTGACTTTGTTCATTCTTTCCATTCACCACGGCTGCAGCCATGAACCAACGCCATGGCCATGGATCTCTGACTTGTCTCTTTTCTTGCACAAATGAGAGAAAATTTCAATTAAAATTCACCACCCACTCTCTAACATGTTCCTTTGAATATGACTAAGAATAGGGGAGAATTATGGTTAAATGTATACAAAAACTTCATAAAAAGAGTGCTAAATATTCAATAGAATCACATATTTCATGCATTCATCAATGATCAAAAGTAAAATCATGAGGATTTAGGTTCAAAATAGGCAATATCATACTAATATGCAAACATATATGTGTAACCATGTGGTCAAACAAGAAAGATTAACCTAACCTATTAGGATATAATATTTTCAATTTTCAATTTGTCTTTAGGATATTGTTTGAAAAAATAATGCAAATTTTCAATTTCAAATTTTTAAGATATTGTTTAGATATAAAAAGATATTATTTGTCTTATTAAATTTTTTCATCATTATTATTTTCTCTAACCACATGTTAACACTTGCAAACTAACAACTCATTATTCTCATTTTTTACTCTTTATTTTATTTATCTTTTTAATATTAAATTATAATTTAATAATTATTCTATTAGTATTGTAATAAATTATTTTATTTTTTGTATGATTACAATATAAGTAATTGTTATTTTTATTACTATATTTTACTAGTATTTTTTTTGTACAGCATTACTGTTATTTTTATTTATTTTAAAAAAGTAAAAAAAAGTATACATTTAAAATACAAAGTAAAAGAATAGCACTAATCTATCTATATAATATATTAAAAATTTGTTAAAAGAAGGTTTATGTTAACACAAGAGTCCCTCTCCCGTAAAAAAAATTCCCGCTCCAAGTTTTATTTTCTCTTAACTTTCTTTATGAAAAAAAAACTTTTTTAAAACATCCAATCTCAAATATAAAATAAAAATAAAAATCCACCGTCTTCTTTCTCCTATTTTATTCTCACAACTTTTCTTTCTCATTTTTTTATATTTATTCTGTCTAAATTAATTATTATTAAAAAATTAAATTTACTTATTTAATTTATAATGAATATGTTATATATATATATATAACTTTTTTTATTATTAAACGAAATTGTTAAATTTTGTAACTCACTTTATTGAGAAAAACAAGATAAGGTAGGGTGGAATGGAGCATTTTGTCACCACTTCCAATAATTATTTTTCAACACTTTTTTTATATAATTATTTAATTAACGTGTTACATTTTTATAGATTTTATGATTGAATACTAAATAATTTAAACAAAATAAAAAAGTTAAAGAAAATTAGTCAATACAATTACATTAAATTAAATCTAAAATAGTGTTGAACTCACTTTACTGATAGATGAAACGGGATGGGACATCATATGAGAGATTTTGTCACTTTCACTTTTAATAACTGTTTCTTAATAATTTTTTTTTTCCTTTTAAACTGATTTATTACATAATTATTTTTTTTATAGAAATTTTAATGTGTTACCTTTTTATAGATTTTGTGATTTAATACTAAATAATTGAAACAAAATTAAAAAAAAAAAAACTTAAGAAAACTAGTCAATATAACAACATTAATTAAATCTAAAATATTATCATCTATATTTAAAATTAAAAAACATTTATATTAAACCATTTTACTCTAAAACAAGATATGCATGTAATCCACAAATCTGTCAACAACTTCACAAACTTTTTTCGTTCAAAAAAATTTACTCATTGTTGTTCTCCAGACCCTTCTGAACTATTCTCTTTCTTTTTTCTTCTTCTTCGTTCTTCAAACAATTTCAACTTAATTTTGTTCAATACACTCATATATTCAATTTATACAAGAAAAATACCTCAATCTTGATACTGGGAAAGAATTATATTTAATTTCATCCCAATAATGTTGTGAGATGTTATCAAATATTTGAATTTTTTTTTCAATTATGAAAAGTAATTTTTGTAATATAATATAAACATTCTTTGGAAAAGTACATTCTAAGATGTTTTCGCTCTTTCAAAATTTTGCAGAATGTTAAAAAATAATGTTTCAAAAATTGGAAAGTACTTTCGAGAAAAAAAATCACTAACATAAAAAAAAATACTTTTTGAAATATTATTTTTATTATTAAAATTATGAAAAATCCTTTTTAAAATGTTAATAAAAATACAAATATTCCAAAATTAATCTCTTAGATGAGTGATTATATAGTTTTAGGATCGTAGAATGAGAGAGTGGAGTGGGAGGACATTTATATGAAGGTGACTGTTTTTTAAAGGTTATTTAGGCAAACTAAAATAAAAGGGAAGGTTATATGAGAATGACACAACGGATTAAATCTCTTTGCACGTATTAATTAGGATTTAGGATTGAATTCGATTTCTCTCATATTTTATATATTTCCATAAAAACTTGTGCTAAGGATGAAACACACGATTTGTAATTTCACTAAAAATTCTCAAAAAAATTAATTGTTAATTGTAATTTTACACAAAGTCATGCTTTACCTTCATCTAAATTTTTCATCTACCAAACACAAAAAAAAAAAAGAGGAGTGAATTAAGAAAAAGAGAGTTATAAATAATAAAACTTTTAGGAGACGTTTGTTTCGAAGTATAATATTATATTCTAAAAAAATTTATCCCCAAGAATATTATTTTCCTATTTAGTTGACATTGTTAGTATTAGAAAAAAAATAATTTTTATTTTGAAAAATAAAAACAAATGGAAAATATGAAATAATAAGTGAAAATAGATAGTTTTTAGGAAAACTAACTTCTTTTCCATGGGAATATAAGATACTTATCCTTCATTCACTAGAGAAGCATGTCAAATATAAAAGTTTTACATTTCTGACAATAAAGTATAAATGAGAATATCTTTTTATAACCTTCTAATAAATATGAAAATAAATATTCTTACTTTTATATTCTCAAAAGTAAAAAAAATATCACGTGAAATAAACATATCTTTGCTTTTTATTTTTTATTCATCGAAATCATAATGAAAACACTACAATTTGAATCCAAAACTTTGTATTTTCTAACTCGATCTCTACTTGTGGATTGCTTTCTGGTCGATAAATTTTCATGTTAAATCATTGTGTTTATTCTTCTACTTTCTTTATCTCTGTTGACATTATTTCTAGCATGTTTATTTCGCTTCTAACAAACATGGGAGATATATTTAATGTATAATTACAAGAAATATAAATCTATAATTTAGACATAATATGTGTGCATAAGAGGACTCTCACATTTCCAACAATGATGATATTAACATATTCGATTCTAAAAGTTCTTTAAAAAAAAAATATTATCAATAAGGAAAAAACAAAAAGCACTTTCACTGTTAAAAAATAAAAGTAATAAAAAATGATGAAATAAAAAGTGTGAAGTTAACTTTATAATAGTAAAATAGTTGAGCGATGGAAAAAGAATCTAAAAAAATGCGGGTGCCAAATCAAGATATTTCTTTGTTATAGAAGAAATATAAATATATTTATACGTAATTTGTGTGCATAAGAGAATTGTTACCTTTCCAATAATTATGATACTAACATATTCAATGCTGAAAGTTTTTAAAAAATAATTATTATGACTAGGAAAAAAGAAACACTTTGTACCTTGCTGTCAATTTTTTTTTTATGAAATAAGAAAATGTGCAGATAACTCTACATTTACAATAACCATGAAGTTAGGCTTATTAGTTAAGAGTAGAAAAATGTGGATACCAAAACAAGATCTCCACTTTATTAATTGTTATACATCACTGTTTAAAAGTTGTACAGTTGTTAGAAGGTATTCGACTAATTTCATCAGAATTTACAATGGTCTTACCAAGAATATATGGTACCAAAGGCAAGCAATGATCGCATCATGTTACGATATCAAGCACCTACACTTGCTCGCTTCCTCAAACCAGTTAAGCTCCACTAATCATATAATAATCTTTATCAAGCAGTTAGATGTCATATCCACCAAGACTTGTCTACGATATCCTTGGAGAACACGTACCGGAACCTTGAACTATAAGGTAACCATTCTATGATCTGAGACGGTTTTTTGCTGGATTTAGGATTAAGGCACTTCTGCATTGAATCACGCAGCTTCTTGTCAACACTCTCCATGACCCATCCAAAGAGATCATCTATGCTTATTGACGCTTCTTTAGAAAATCTTTCCACCAATTTTGGGAGAAAAACTTTTCTCGACTTTTTCACAATTATATTTGCCTGGAGAAACTCCCTCTTCGCAATATTTAATTCTTCACTTACATTTGATGCTGAATAAACCTTTAGCTGCAGCATTGTAGTTTGTAACAACAAAATTCTTAATCAACTCGGTTTAAAATCCGGGTAACAGAGAGCAGGGAGTATTTTAGATGAAAAATCAAAATTACTATCAGAATTCTGCAGCATTAATTTAAAAGATGGTCCTTTACATTTTTCATAAGCAAAAGACCTCGAAGTTCATCTAGTTTAGCAGAGAAAACTTTTATGAGGGTGTCAGTCTTTATTAGACAAGGCTCCAAGGAAAAGTTTCCTACTTATAATCAAATGCACTTTCATAGTAGTGTTTATGAGAGAAAATTTACCACAGGATCTGACAAGGTTCCAGTACAAAGGGCAAAGCAGACAAGGGGCTGGGCATTAGTAAGACCCAATTTGGAACTGAGAAGTTGTCTTTCTTCACCGCTTTTCTTCCTCAGGGCAGCAGACACAATGTTTTCAAGCCACTGTATTTGATAAAACAACAGACAAAAAGAATTGTATGAAACATTTGATTCTGTCCTACTCCTAATTAACATCAAAATAGGTGTTAGAAAAGTTTAGTTTGAATTTTTCTATTGAAAAGAAGTTGCATAACAATTAAAGGTTTATGTGCCTAAGCATACCTCACTCGCGAAAAAGAAGAAAGATGATTACTGTATTATATTATTCTCATTCCAGAGAAGAAGCAAAATCTACACAAGTTTACAAGAGCATAGGTGGCTATTGAATCATGGCTGTGCTTACGAATTTATCACACAGATTCAAAATTCAAATAAATACATAGATCATAGGATTGGAAGCAGCAGATGCAAATCATAAGAATCAACCATCTGTAACTTGTAACCCTCTACGGGCCAAAACAGAAAGAAACAGGTAGGAAGTTTAGGTCCCGTTTACTTTGACAAAGCATTTTCTGTTAAATTGAAAACAAAGTCAGTTTTGTAATTAAAAGTGGAAAGATCAAATGAAAGCAGGAAATGTTTTCTTCTCCAGTTAAACAGTTCCTTAATAGTCGGACACTTTTGCTCGGCAATGAATTCCACATATGAAAGAACTAATCCTAAAACATGCCAAGACAATATGTATCAAGAGTTTTTCAAATTCATAGACGGGGTTAAGGGGAGTACCCGTCCAATACGAGGTGTTCGGAAGCAAAATATCATTTGTTCTATCGCATTTGCACTTACGATATAACCGCCAATGTTGTAAGCAGCCTGCACTATACAATTTTACTCATCAATTGATAATAAGTATGATGTTAGTAAAACAAAGGAATACAGTCAAGAAAGAAAATTATCATACTAATGCTAATTCTGAATGCAATTAGATTTCTTTCTTCTTATTTTGATTTCTCTTGTTGGTAATGAGAAATAAATAAATTATTTGGTTATGTTCCTGGTCTGAGCTTCACAAGAAGAATGATTTGGAGAAAATATAAACCTTCCATAGTTTCAATAACCTTCTTAACGTGCCAGATATTATCTGAAAAATATTTTCCCAAAAAAATATATATAATTAAATAAAACAAGCGAACTACCTTGTGAAACAAGGCTAGCCTCCTGAGAGAACCCTGAGGAATTCCGTATGCTAAATATGCCTGTCAGCAGGAGATCAAAGTTATGTATGCTTGAAAATTGGTAAAACAAAATCATTGCTGGTCATTTGAATATTACATGCATCACAAGAGCATTGTGCACATTGATCCAGAACGCAATTTGTGCATCACAATCCATTTGACTGACATTCACCCTTTCTAGTTGTTCAACTAGAACTCTGAATTTATACATGGAGGGAAAAAAAACATGTCAGATCAACAATTCAATAACAAATTTAGTGCATGAACAAAGTGTTATCACAGTACAAATAAACAACTATATTAAAGTAGTTAAAAAATCATGTTTTGAAAAATTACACGCATCCCAGATTCCCCATAAAGGTATAGCAGAATGTAATCGTTAACAAATCATGCTATAATTACCAAAGAACTCTTATTCCTAATTTCCAATCATGGAAATAAGTTGAAGGTTCATCACATCCTTTATATTCTTTACTGATATTTTTTAATATTTCATGTGAAATTTTTCATTCAAATAGAGCCAACCTGTAATTGCTGATGGCATAAGAAGCGTGATAAGAATGGCGTTTGTGAGTAGATATCCAAGATATTTCAACTGCTGATTTGCAAAACCAGTCTCGATCGTCTCCAGGACAATGTCGAGGCTGTATAGCATTAGTGGATGACCTTGATAATAATGGTGACCTACCGTTTTCAGCATTTACAGAGGTTGCACTACGAAGCCAGCAATATACAGTGGCCATGCATCTCACCATTTCCTCAGAAAGCTTGCTTGGACACTGGAACAGATGCTCTTTCAAAGTACGTAAAATTGGAGTTTTCTGGATTGAAGAAATTTTTTCATGAGCCTGACATGATTTAGATGAGAATGTTTAGTACAAACATCACATCATTTGGATGCATGTAAGCATGTTCACACCACACGCATGGATTCATGTGGGGTTTCTTTTTCTTTTGGGTACAATTCATACAGGATTTGATTTAGCAAAATGTATTGTAAATCTCTGATTGCTTGAACTGTGGGTTTATAATTATATATCCAAACTTCTCATGAGTAAAGAAATGGTTATTTCAAGTCTTCAACAGTGGCCAATTGCTTTCGGTGTTCTACATTCGGGCTCGTGAAAATGGAATGACCAGCTGGTGAACTGGCTGGCCACGTGCCCGATTCAATTCTCTTGAGAAACTTTTTTTTTTCTTTTTTCCATAAAGCAGTATGAAATGGACTAAACTATCTAGTTCTGGCAATAAATTGGTGAAGCAGACCAATACATGTCCCAGTGGTGGTTTCCTGGGTGCTTATGAATCTGCCACACCATCTTGAGTGCCAATTCTGGAATTAATTAAACTAGTCAATGGAGGTGATTAGACATGCGGTTTAATATCAATCTGCCACGTCATCCAGAGTTGAGCATCTACTATCTGAACTCAACGTCTAGAGATGAGCAAAAATAGCTTGCAGTGTACAATAGCTTCAGATATCTTTATTAATAAATCATAAATACCTATAGCATAAAAGATAATCTTAGAATGCATTTTTAAATATAAATCAAGAAAAAAAAATTCTATAACCAAAAAAAAAAAAACTTTTTTTCCTGAAATAATCCTATACAAGGTATACAATTTAAAAATTCCACACAGTGGTTGAAACAATGAAAACAAGAAGAAAGAAAACTGCAGAGAAAAAACATGATTTTCATTTTTTTTTCTCTAAATATTAATTATCAAATTTTGGTTTGACCATAATTTAATGCCAATCAAACCGGTAATCGCTGAACATGTTTCAGTACCCTTTTTAGTTCAGTAAACATTTTTAACACAGGATTTATATTTGAACCAAATGCTATCCACTAACAACAATGTGAACAATCAATGCATATAGCTATACACATAAATAATAGAAAAACAATATCAATGCATCCTACCTTGTTGGAATCAGAACAAGTCTTTTCAAAACAATTGTTGCCTTTGCCACGTGATGCTGGGGCGTGATTAGACCCAAAGATCCTATTCCTCAAGTCATTATTAGAAACCAAAGCTTGCAAGGGTCGTAGAGGGAATTTTTTTGATGAACAGAATGCACTTGAAATTATACTTGGATGCTTCCTGGATCCTTGACTTGAATGCGCAGGTGAAGCAACACTAGAACTTTGTTGAGAAGGTGGCTGGCTAACACACTGTTCAAAAATGCTCCTGTACAGAGAAAGTACCTGCTGCTCACGGCTTGTAACCTCTTCTTCAAGTAACTCAATTTCAGCAATCAAGTCTTTTGTCTAAGAAAAAAGGAGGAAACATGGAAGAAATAGTTATTTACATACCACTATACATACACTTGTAGCCATGGTTTACATTATAAATTTAAAAATGACATCAAGCCAGAACTTTCATGTTCATGCCGCATATTCCAATCAAATTATACTATCTACATATCCAGTGAAAGTGAAGAGTCCATTTGATATATCATAATCATCTAACTAGGATCCTTTACACGAGGGTCAATTTCTCTCTCTTTTAGTGGAAGTATCGGGGAAGGGGAAGTTAACCCATTCAAAGGATTGCTATAACCCTCCGACAGGCTCACAGGAATCATTTGAATTCAAACCTGATAACTTCATATGGATCATGTTCGATCCTACCAATACATTGGAGCGGATCAACTTTGCTAATTATATCATTTCAAAGCTGTGCCTGTGCGTCAGATTTCTATGACACGCAGGAAAACTACATAACATGGTTTCTCAAAAGTTAGACCTGTTAGCTAGAAGCTCTAGAACAAGATAGGTTTTATCTTTAACTCGCCTGACCTTTACAGCTTAAAGTGTAAACAAAGCACAGGATCAATCAGGTCTTATACTTATTCATAATGTAATTGATTAGAAAAATGGCAGTGGCAGAGCGGTGATCAAATTTCTAACATTTGGTCCCAGAGATTCTAACATATTATTATTAAAAAAATCATCATGAAAGCAGAGATTTTGGTAAGACATTAAATTTTAACCAAAATAAATTTGTTTAAAATGGCAGAAATGCAAGTTTATTTTAGTAGCTTCTAGTTTTTAAGCTGCTTAACTTTTTTTTTTCCTTTCATTTTTATCATTATTAATTTATTTGAAATGTCTTTCTATGTCAAATAATTAAATATGTTATGTTATTTTACATTTATCAACCATCTTATCAATTAATTTTACCCAACACCTTTAATTCATTTAATTAGCCTATAAGTACGATGACAAAACATTTGAAAGAACTTAGAAGTTTGATATATAATTGAAGTAGCTTATAAGCCCTTAGTTTTTTTTTTTTTTTTTTTTTTTTTTTTTTTTT